GGGCGCGACTTACTCCACCAGAGACGGCGTCTGGCGCTGGAGCGACGGTGCGGCCGTTCCCATGGGCGCTCCATATTGGGCGTTTGTAAGCGATTCTACGATACAAAATAATCCACTATGAAGAGACTTATAACGTATAGAAGTTGATGATTTATTTTGCATGTAATGCAGATTAATGCGAAGACAATGCATCAGCTTATGTAGCTCGGACAAATGAAGTGAAAGAAAGTCAGATTAAAATGCAAATTGTAAAGCAGGTTTCGAAGACAAAAAATGACATGTATTGAAAACGTATGATAAAATCAGTTTAAGAAATTTATTCTAATTTAAATTAACTTGAAATAGAAACAATACAAAGTTAATTTACGTGAGGTAATTTATTTCCGATATGTTAATTGATGGAAATTTACATCATACGCGTAGAGAACCTTGATGGCACGAGTACTCAAGATGTTGCGATTGTCGCAGGCCACCTCATTTAGTCATTTGACTTAGTCAGTTGACTGCTCAACTTTTCTCGATTTCTCATTTCGTTGTTTGTGTTTATCTCACCTTGCGTGACTTGTTATTAGGCATGCGTACAACAATGGAGGGCTTATGGCACATTTGAGGTAACCCCGTAAAATCGTCGCCGGAGCCAAGGTGCACGAACAACTGGGATAAGGAGTTAGGGGTGACTGCCGGTATTTGGGCAATTTTGTGCCTGCTCTGTGCCTCAAAATTACCCACAAACCGGCGCCCATAACTCCTGACCTTACCCCAGTTGTTCGTGCACCTTGGCTCAGGGAACGATTTTACGGGGTTACCTCAAATGTGAAATTAGCCATCCAATTATATCGTCTATTGCGTATTGGTCTGCAAATTCAAGATGGATTACTTATCTTGTGGTTTTTCTTCTGACCATGAAGCTCGTGGACTGCATAGTTTCTATGCGCAAGATTTGGTTGCCGACTATCGTACTCTTACTGTAGTAACTATTCTTAAGGACAGACGCTGATACATTAGCAAAATACTAACATTTTGTTTATAAACCAACAAAGTGAACTGACGCTTCAGCATACTTGAATGACATAATCAAAATCACTTCCTGAGATGCATCCGAAGTTAAGACTGAATGAGCAAAATCATTGAAACTAGTTTGTGACTGTAAATAAACACACAAAGCGGGCCCAATTTAACAGCCGAACTACACTTGATTTATTTACATTTTAAAATATTGGTAGACGAATACAGTTTTCTTCTTGACGTGAGGTGATTAGCTACTTGGCGACTTTTACTCACGTTTGCATCTGTTGAAGTGAAACATCCCATAACCATTTTCGTGGAGTCTGACGTATTTAGTATTAAAATATTAACGATAAGCCGCATCATGAATAATAAATTATTTTTAGAATACTGCGGTAAATGCGGGGAGAGAACCTGAAGGCGGTACTCTGGAAAACTGCGCCGTCATCTACCCCGCTGGAAACTGGGCAGTCTTTGCTTATACCTGTGGGGCAATAAACGTTTATCCTATTTGCTCAAGAACACCGCTGCATGGTGAGAAAATGAGGAGCTCCGTATGCCAAACACATATCTGCCTTAATTTATACCGCAGTCCTGAAAACAATTTTTGATACAATGTTTTTCATATTTTAAGGAAATTAGTCCAAAATTCAACTGTAGTGTAAACACGTTCCTCACTTAGCCACGTTTAATTTTCATATTACCTTACACAGCATACATTTATATTTTCAATACAGGACATTGCGGGCAACCATTTGTGTTGGTGGGCACGCACTGTGTCCACGTTATCCAGGCTGGAAGTACTTGGGCTGCCGCACGCACCCAGTGTGGACTGCTTGGTGGAGACTTGATCATTCTTGAGGACTGTCATCAGTACCGCAAGGTTTACCTCTACCTAACCGAGAAAGGTGACACCCTAAATATTCAGAATAAATGTTAGACCAAAAATTAGGATTTCCCTTACACTTAACTGTTTCCTACCAATAAAGAAAAGTAATTTACCAAGCACGATAGTAAATAACTCAGAGAGTTGAACTCATCTGTAGAAGTCATTCAAACCAGAAACTGTGAGGCAGCAGACTAAAAAGTCAGGCACCCACCAGTATTGTTGGGTACCTTATAAAGCACGGAATCCTGAATTATATTCTAGTCTAGTATTTCTCGTTTACGTGCATCTGATGCATTTTTCTGTTATACCATATTTGCAAATGCTCGTTTTGAGCATTCATGAAATTGTGGTCGTGTATTTAACGTTTGAAATTGAAGAAGATTCTATTGTATGATCTTACTCATATTTCTTCCTTTTCTAAGGTTACAAACCTTTTGCATTTTGGATCGGTGGCTCAGATCTCGCCATCGAAGGGCAATGGCGCTGGATAGACGGTTCGCCGATTGCTATGGGTGTTCCATACTGGGGCAATGTAAGCTGGATCTTTAGTTACAATGTAATCATTCTACATGGAAGTACAAACAGCAAATATGAGATATTCGAATTTGTTTATATTTTCTACAAATTTGCTTCATTATAAAGTGCATTTAATTTAGAATTTAGTGCTGCGCTTCAGGCCTTACGCCATGTAATCGTAATTCAGGAAATTCAGAGCCGCGAAAAGTTTATTCATTTGTTACTTAAATCTGCGAGGTCTCTGCTCTATGCGTTCATTATTCAATCAAGTCATTGATTAAATATTATTTATTTGGGTCAATTCCCAGTAATAATTTTATACAACATGGTTCAAACGAAAATCAAATAAACAGGGTTCGTACCGGTATTTAGTAAAAAAAATTCCACGACTTTTCCATGACTCTCCATGACCATCAAAATAATTTTATAGGACTCACATACGACAGGTTCAGCATGATTGAACGACTAATCGTGCATATTCTATCATCTCCTACAGTTGATAAATAGCAAACGTGTAAATGCATAGCTCTTCATGGCTCTTCAACGTTGCTTCCCCCATATTTGACACGTCGAAGTCCTTCGAGCACAATGTACCTATCCCCATACCTTCATGCTTGGATGGCGAGCAAGCCTTGAATAATAAGCTTCTATTCTTAACCACAAGTCATGAAATTTACACTTTCCAGGCATGGTGATGTAGAAATTGCACGCTGAAGATGGAATGCAGCAACTGCAGATCAAAAAGTTGTCGAATGCAACTGAGCTTGGTGACGAAGCTCACGTGATTGGTTCTCCAATCAGAACGCAGGCAACAAGACACTGCACAAACAGTACAGTAAACACACGCAGCACAGAAAAACACTTCTTTTTTTTCTTTTATTTGCAAATTCCAAGACTTTCCATGACCTGAAATGAAATCCAATGACTTTCCAGGCCTGGAAATGAAAAATAAAATTCTATGACTTTCCATGTTTTCCATGACCGGTACGAACCCTGAATAACTAAAAAAACAGATTTAAAATAATCTTGTTCATGTGCATAAACACTAGTGGTCAACGAAAAAAATTCTAATGAAAAAGTTGTATTGGATAATATTACAGTTGCATTTGTATACTAATCCTAATATGTTGGTACATGCATTAATAATCTTCCTTGTAGATTTTATTTGAAATAATTTCGCTCTGTCCATTGATCGTTAATATCTACACTTAACTCGCCACGTTATGCCGATCGAGATTGTTCGAGTAGTTCTCGACATAAACATGCATCAGATAATTAATTGGATATCAATCATGATATATTTTTAACGTAGTGTAAGTCCTACAAAACAGTATATATAATAAATAAATTATGTATCTGAAACCACAGGTTCAAGTAGGAGGTCCTGGAGCTCCAGAACCCAACAACCCTGGAGTGGAGAACTGCATGGAGCTCAGTTCAGCGTGGATGTACCGCTTTTCCAACACGCTGTGCAACAACACGCGGCGGGTGGTGTGCGAGACCCATCCCCTCTAGGGGAAGTATTGAGAATAGGGTCCCTTCTAGAAGAACAATGTGATTTTATTTCAATAAAATTATAGGGATGATGGTCCTTTCTAGAAAAGTATCGTGGTTATATTCCCTGGAGGGATATTGGGACCTTCATTAAAGTAAATTCTAAGATGGAAAAATCAAGAGATATGCATTCAATTATGTAATTGAATCGAATTAGACTGGAATAATGAATATTCATAACCAAAAGGTATAGATTGGTAATCCCAGAATAGATAATACTTGTAACTTAAGAACCCGTTACCTCAAGCACCGTCATCTCCAACCACCTCGTTCCAAATCCAGTTAATAATTTTGAAACTAGCTATTTGATTAAACTTGTTCAAAACCACTTTTAGCTCGGAACTCCAACTAAAGTCGCAATTTGATGAGTATATAAGAAGCTGAACCTATATTTGTGAACGCAATATACACTTGTATGTTAATCGCATTGCGATTTTAAATTTATTTTTCGCATTCATTGTTCAATGTCTCATGATTACATGTTAAAATAAAATTGTATGCTCTAGCAATATCCTGGCAAGAATTATCCTTGATGTATAATGGATTAATTCTGTTATGATTACTTCATATCATAATAAATAGTTCGTGTCATCATTATAGCGTCTATTTAGTCACACATTCGCACTTACATCGTTAATACCGGTGTAGGGTTCCTGCATAAATTAATACATTTTATTTCATTCTTGTAACGTAATTAAGCCCAGTGATTATTGTAAATTCTTGGGATATTCTGTAGCCTTGCCATTTAATTTAAGTTGTGATGTTTGGCGAGCAACTTTCTCGAGATATTCCACAGTTTATACCAAATATAGTGTGATTATTGGATGTGATTACAGGATGTGATATGATTATGTGATTATAGGATGTGATATGATCATGTATGCTTATGTGATTATAGGCTGTGATTATAGGATGTGATTTTAGGAAGTGATATGATTATGTATGATTATGTGATTAAAGGCTGTGATTATAGGATGTGATTTTAGGAAGTGATATGATTATGTATGATTATGTGATTATAGGCTGTGATTATAGGCAGAGGTGGGCAGTAGCGCGCTACATTTTCGGTACGAGGTTTTGCCGCTACAGCGCTACCACTACATTTATAAATAAAGCCTTTAGATTTTACTTAATAGTATTAAATATTTTTTGAAAACTAGCATGATACATACATTATAAAACTGTACGAAAGATTTCGGTGTAATGTTGTCACCCTCAGCCTATTACTAGTGTCAACATGTTAGTTGTTACTTGTTAAGTTGTTACCAGTTACCACTTACAAGTATTTTTTCATGTTTCAGTTTGCTTGCAGTTATTTTTATGCTTCACTTTCCCTACAAGGATATCTACTTTAATCTACCAATCTCAAAAATAATCCACCTATATATACAAATAAAAGACTGATTTTTTATGTGTATATGCGGATAATTTTTTAGATTGGTAGATTAAAGTAGACATCCATGTAGGAAAGGTTAAACATAAAAATAACTGTAACTTTTATTTACTGTATCTAACCGTACTAGTTCGGTTAGGTTAATTGCAATAAAGTTGCATTGATATGTTTTGAAAATGTTTTATTATCATTAAATGTTTATGAGTAAACCCCAATAGCAGAACAATAAATATGTAGAGATTTCCAACAATTTTGGCCATTTGTAGCGGCTAATGTAGCGGCGCTACATTTTACTGTAGCGGTAGCGGTAGCGCTCGCTACAATCTATTGGGTGTAGCGGTAGCGGTAGCGCCCGCTAGATTTAGAGCATGTAGCGGTAGCGGTAGCGCCGCTACATTTGAAAGTAGCGCTGCCCAGCTCTAATTATAGGATGTGATTATAGGAGTTGATTATGCTATAATAGAAGGCAAGTACTGGGATAGGAGCTCACGAAAGTTTTACAAGGAGTCGGGGTATAGGGCAGAAACTGTAGGGCGTTTGGGGTAAGGTGGATGTTGCGGGTTGCGGCCTGCCAGTATTTAAGGGGGGTATGGAGACCCGTCCGAACTCCGAGGCGAGGGTGATCGCGGTCGCTGCCGTGACTTTTATCTTACGTCTGGCTGTGTGGTGTCAAAGGAATGTCATGCGAGCGCAGGCCTGCGTCGCGCTGCTCTACACTCTGTGTAGTGCCCTCTCACAACAGTGCACATGTAGTGCTACCCTCATAACAGTGCACATGTCATCAATGAACTTTGACTTCTGCCAGCACATTCTTTGCTATTTACAGCGCGATCTTAAAAAAAAACAAATAAACATAAAACATTTTGATGTGCCGTTAATTTCATTTTTTCCCATGTTATTTATTTCATTTTTCCGGTTCAAGGACGTGATAATTGCAAAATTCATCATTGAATTTTCAATTCATCAAAAGGTAATTTAGGCTTTGATACCCATTCTTTCAATTAAATATCATATTTTATTTACTTTATGATAAATAAAGGGAAAAAATTATAGTAATATAACACAACTTGGTTGTGCATAGACTTGGGCAGACGCGTCACGAAGCAAAGGGTGCTTGGGCCGCTGAGCTTACCCCTCACACCCCTCCCCTCACCCCCCCTCCGATGTGCGGGTACCCCATTTGGTAATGTGAGCCGCTGCTTCAGGCCAAATAGACTGTTTTTGAACTGTTATATTTCTGTCTCTTATACACATCTAGATGTGTATAAGAGACAGCTCTGGTGAAAAGTGCTCGTGCGGTCATACCGACGTAGCTAGATGCACATTGTGCACAACAGAAAGAATATACCAGAGAAGNCTGTCTCTTATACACATCTAGATGTGTATAAGAGACAGATCATAACTGGTGTTATACAAAGCTTACATATTTTTTGTTCCTTTACACGGATTGTAAATAAATACCTAGATAATTATGGAAAATTTCAGATCGTCATCTCATTTACGAGTGAAGTAAAGTTCCGCCTAATTAGTTAAGAACTCCTTAGGAACCTGTCCGGGACCTGGCGGTTGTCCATACTAGCCTTAAGCAGGGCGTCGGACGGCGGGCCGCGGGAGTCAGTTGACTGAGTTGAGTATGGAGGCGAGGCACGAGGAGTCGTCTCGTGCGAGCTAGAAGTTGGGTAAACGCACGGCGGTTTGTGGACATGGATTGTGTTGATCGGTGTGCAACTTCACTAGTCGCGGAACAGGTGCGAATTGAAGGTAACACTAGTCAGCTGAAAACGAAGCTAATCGAGGATCTGCACCAGCCAGCGCGTTAGGATACGCCGCGGAGGAGCCAACACCAGTTCCAACTACGGTTAGTTTTACGACGGAGCAAGTCGCGTAGAAGTCTTCCAAGGCACGCCTCCGTCACATAGCCGGTGAATTTGATAGCCGGTACTAGTTGGGAATTTGATAGGGCAGAGCCGTTTTTTTGGTTAGAATTCCATCTGCTATTACCGTGTTCATTTCTGTAGGTCGTGCCATTTACCTATATTCCAGTTTAGGTCGGGTCGTAGGTCGTGTCATTTGCCATGCCTTTGATTATGCCATGGCCGTGAAAAGTCGATTGATTAAAAACGGAACAGCCCTGTAAAAGAATAGCTTTGTTTTAGTTATGTCCTAGTCCCAAAATTGTGCTAGACAGTGCTCAGATAATTAGGCTGGATCATTATTATCATGTCACCGCTCTGTATTAGGATAGTTTATTTTTTAATATATAAGTGTTAAGAAATTCATGTGTTGTCATTTCTTTTCCTTTTTTGTTAGTTCGATAACTGCCAAGCTTAGGCGCGCCTAGCAAGCCACTTCGGCAACAAAAAACCTGACAGAATTGAAGCAATTGACGATCGAGCGATAAAATCTATAATGTACGGTCAACATTGATAAAGTAAATTTCCATAAAAACCATAAGAAAAACTTCCTTTTCTCTATTCAGGAAAAACCATAAGGAAAACACAAAATTATTTTCCTATTCAAATGCACCACAAATTTCATACGTGTGGATACTTGAGACATGGATGGAATAATTTTTTTCAAATGAACCAAGTCTTGATTCGCGGAGTCTCTCTTACTCTTTAGTGCTCTGTAATTGGTTAGTAGAGCGGTTGCTGCAGTCTTCAGTTGACGTACGTCGGTAGCACTGGTTGCTAAGCCACGCACTGAGTGTGGTTAGCTCGAGAGTCACAGCGCAGCGGCTCGTAGTTCCTGCCTTGACAGTCACGACGCTGCGGCTCGTAGTTCCTGCCTTGATAGTCACTACGCAGCGGCGCGTGGATCGTGGCTTGCAAGTAACTACGCAGCGGTGCGTAATATGTGTTCAGATATTGTTAACAAGCATAGTATTCATTATAACTGTTGAACGTTTCTTAGCATTCCTTACTCCTCACTGTTAGTTAACTCGTGACCGTCGCGATGTGAGGGGTTAGAGCTTATACGCCACGTGCTGTACCTGCCTTCTCGTTGTGTTGCGGTGTTCGATTCCTGATCTCACCCGGTGTAAAAATAGTCAAAGTTTATTTATTTCTGTAAATTATTCTAGTCATGAAATTTATCTTTAACCGCACATATGCAAATAAAACGGCTAAAATTGATAAAAAAGATGTTGGAACATTTTCTATCAATGAATTTCGGTTCCGTAAACGTGCCTCGTGTTTTTTCTCCAAACCAATAGGTCTATTAATCTCGCCCAATTGACGGAACAGGGACTTGAAATTTCAACTCTGCCACAAAACTTGGGAACTCGTAACACCAAAAATAGTAAACATCTACCGTTTACACAATTATATTGTAGTTACTTCACAGATTTTTACTAATTAACCTCTTCGAACGATACTTTTTAATATCAATGTTGTGTTCAAGTGATGTGACGGAGCCTTCACTCTGGATGGTTTATAATTAGATTAATGCATAAAAGTTTGTGAGACGCATGGAGTACTTTAAAATAACCAATAAAAAATCATTTAGCTATTGCTAAAAAACCTCGCCGCCTAGCATATAGAACTTCTGATGACATTTTTTCATTTATCATAGGTTAGTTTAATACAAAATTCTAAATAATCCAGTGAGATTCGGCGTTTGACTTGCTTTTTGTGTACGAAGTCGTGATAAATAATAATTAGTTGTCATGAAATAACAATATATGGTTCATATGAAACCAAATAAGAATATGCTGTTTATTCACAACAGTAAAGGGAAGTTAAATATGCTTGGCTTACATCACAATGAACTATTTTTGTCTTAATATTACTTTTAGTTATTATTGATGAGCCCAGAACAAATTGCGTTATGACTACTGTTAATGCGCGGTGCGTTATTGAAAATCTTGCGTAAAAAATCGTAAGTGAAATTTTAATAATCTTTTAAGAAATAAACCTCAGATCTTACAACGTTGTTAGTAGAAATTTCTGTTTTTGTGTCCACTGTAAGCCATGGGTATAGAAAATATATCCATAGTTCCTGAACCTCATAAGCAGGTGTACTTCCCGGGCCAGGAAGTCATGGGATATGTGCTGGGGTGTGTTCATCAGCACGGCTCGATACTTCTTATGCAACATTGGTGGCTTTCATCGAAACTTTCTTCACAATAAAATTCAAGATCGTTGGTATTAAATTCTCATCCGCGAGTTCAAAGCCATCTGAGATTCTTTCATATTTGAAAATGATTTTTTATTAAGTTATACACAAGTAGAAGTTAGTTAAGCTGCATGTTTTAGTTCAGTAGTCATTTTGCAGTTTTCCATTTATTTTTTGTACAGTATAACTGAATGCTTCCGTAAGCCCCAGCTGCTGAAATTAGGGTAACGTCTAAAACCAAGTGAAGAATAGACAAACACTGGGAGTGATCCTTCCTCCGAATGTAAATTTGCGCTGGACCAATCAAACGAATTTTAAACAAATTTTCAACAAACGGGTGAAGTTATTCATTATTTTTTTGCGTTAGATGTTGTACACTGTACAGTTAGATGTAATAGTAGCATTCTTAGATCGTGACACGTGAATTACATAGGTACTTTGCGAACTGCGAACATATGTCTTGCGTGTATGGTTTTTGTAGCCTTCAAAATGCTAGATTGTATATTGAGTGTGATTAACATGAATGAAATCAAATTTAATACGAGCCGGGCGTTCCTAAGAAGAGTCCAGCA